TACAAGAAGGTTTTGGGGCTTTGTGTTAAAATTTTCTGTTACACATGTAAATCTTCAGTATACAAGAAGGTTTTGGGGCTTTGTGTTAAAATTTTAAAAGGAATGTCAGTTCTGTGCGGGCAAGAGCATGTCTGCTTGTTAACATAGTGGCATTCATAAGAGTTATTGAACTGCAAAACTAGAGTCAGGCAACATTTTGGACTAGACACTGGATAGAGGAATATGGGATGGGGTTGAACTTGGGGATTATGTTCTACATTTAGGACCGTAAATATTACATGAATATATAAAAGAAAGATCTCCTGAGGGCTCTGCATTCTGATAATTAGCAAACTGTTTCATAACTGTGGATTTTGCTAGTAGTACCATTTTTAAAATATTATATATCCATGTAGTTAGACAGTGTTGATTATTTTTGAATACTCTTTGAAAAACAAGTGAAATTGACTTCAAGAAACATATCCTTTGATGATACTTGTGGAAAAACTTTTGAACACAAGATGGCAGTAGATTACTAACTCTAAAAACAGGTCAAGAAATATAGTTTATAGTGAAGATTAATGGCAAACAGTTAGAGCCAGAAAATACTTGGAAAGGTTACATGATCTCTAGTAATTTGTAAATTTCTAGTAATTTGTAGATTATATGAAGGCCTCCCAAAAAATGTGTCTCAATTTAAAAGGTTTCTGTGTAGTGAGATTTCTCTGGCTCCACTACCCTGTAGTCCTGTAACCGTCTTTGTTTAAAACAATAAAATCCAAGAAACTATAGAGATAATCTAGTCCAATGCAGTACTATGTAAGACCCATTTGTGATTTTCTAAATGATGCTTCTTATATACAAGTATACTCATGCCTGGTAACCTTCCGAAAAGTCTGTTTCTTTATCATTTTCTGAATGCATGGACTTTCTTTTAAAATGAAAAAGATAAAACCGAATTACTGTAGTTTGCTTCAGAAATTCCTGTTTCTTAGCTAGAGAGGAAGAAGAGATTAAAATCCTCTTAGAATTACAAGTGAACCCCTCTTAACCTGTCCTAATTTAGATAAGTAATTGCTAATCAAAAAGTTTATATATATATATATTTATATACACACATATATATACTGTAAACATTTCATTTTAACTGAAAAATGTATAAATGTACATTGACTAATCTCAAGGTATTTGAATCAGATTTGCATATTGGAAATGGCCGTACATGTTTTTATGCTTTCATTTTGCATTATCTTCATTTTTATACCTTCTTTTTTTCTGAAAGAGATTCTAAAGCCATCACAAGGTGATCTCAGTGCTGAGTCGGTCCATATTTGTGCAAGTCTTTCCATAGTGTTAAGAGTTCTATGTACTACTTTGAAAGGAGGTTTAATGTTCATTGAGGCAGTTTTATTTTTTTCACATTTCATTTGTTTTTCTAACATTTATATAAATTATGTTGCTATACTCAAAAAACAACTGGCATAAACAGGTTGGAAAGAAACAAAACTAGTTTCTTCTAGTTCTTCTTTGAGCAGCTGAGTTAAAAACAAAACTCACCTGTTCAGAGAAGAACCGGACCTGTGTGTACCCAGGAGCCTCGGGCCATGTTGAACAGGGAAAATGGACACTACTTAATCCTGCCAGGCAGTTCCAATCACAGATGAATTTATACCATGATTTCTAAGCCACTGGTTCCATAACATGTATGCTTTTATCATAATAAAAAAGTCTTCTACTGACTTGGTAAAACATAATTCTTAGTTCTGTTACTGGTAACCTTATGAATCAGATTTCTAAAAGCTTCCAAAAGATGATACAAACTTTCACCTTAAAAATATAATTATGAAACTATTTGAGTTCATACATCAGGTATGTAAGAATTGAAATTTTTGTATTTAATGATACAAGAACATAATACATGAACATTTGGCCATAGTTTGAACATAGTAAATTTTTAAAAAACATTTTCTGAAGTCCTAGATCCATACATTTTTCTGACTGTTTTAGTGGACATGCCAGCAAGGAAATGAAGTTATCAGAGTGATTGTGTGATATTGTTAAACCTAGATATTTTAGCACACTTAGCTGTTTCAATTAATGAGTAAATAGAAATATAAAAATTTCATTTATACCTTTTTGTGGATCAAGAATGGTTATTATGAAATACTGTCTTAGGATCTTACACATAGCTAAAAATGAAGTAGAGACTTTAAATATATTTGATTTTGTCAATGTGGAAGTGTTTTGTTTTAGCATATGGATATCCCATAATCCTCATTTCAGAAGTTACACAAAAGGAGAGACAATGCCTCATAGGTAGGTAGCTCATAGATACAATATTTCCACTTACATTATATTTGCAATTACAGTATTCTCAGCATTTGGGAAATGATGACTTTAACATAACAATTTAAATAATTTGGGTTTTTTTTTCCTTTTGTTTTTTGGGTTGTTTTTTTTTTTTTTGAGACAAGGTTTCACTATGCAGTTTAGGCTAGCCTTGAATTGTTTTTGTAGCCCAGGCTAGCCTTAAGCAGTTTTTAAGGAAAATACAATGCATACTTTGGGTTATTTACAAATTAAAATTTTGAGAATAAGGAAAGGGATGCATATAGAAATAAAGGCTACATGGAATCCTGCAGTCTTTCTGAAACTATCCATGCAAATAGGTTTGTGATTTTTTTTTTTTTCTTCCTTTCTCTGCCTATTCTTAAGGTAGGATGACAGATGAGAAAGAATGGGTGTAAGATTTGGGGAGCAAAGGGAATAAGGCAGATGGGAGGGTTAGAGTGTCCCAGTAGCATATAAAATTAACTTACAGATGTCAGTATAAGCAGTAGTAAGTTGAACTATGATTTAAAAATAAAACAACTTTGTTTCATTTATGACTGTTTATCTGAAATATAAAGATTTTCCTTTCAATTGTACAGTAAGATTGAAAGTCCATGCTATAGGTTATCATTGGTATTAATTCTGGTGTGATTTATGACATAGTTATTTTGTGAAAATTTCTTGTATCTTATTAGCATTCGGTGAATGTTTAAAAGAAAACATAGAAAATTATCATATTAAAAATTATCTTCAATGTGTAGAAACTTACAGTTTGAGTTAGTTTATTTAAAAAATGAACACCTGCTTGGTTCTCTTTATTTTAGAATCCAGCAAGCTAAAGTGCAAATTCTTCCTGAATGTGTATTGCCTTCAACTATGTCTGCAGTTCAGTTAGAATCCCTCAATAAGTGCCAGATATTTCCTTCAAAACCTGTCTCATGGGAAGACCAGTATTCATGTAAATGGTGGCAGAAATACCAGAAGGTGAGAAACTGATTTTTTATGCATCTTCAAAAAAATTAAAGACAGGTTGCTTTCTCCTCTTTTAACAAAGAATCACAAACAAGACTCTTAATTCATTCCCAGACACCTTCTGGGACAGTACTCTAACTGCATTTGATCATACTTGGAGCTTCTAAAAATTCAGAGGCAGCTATTTATGAAAAATAGTTTTCAGCGATAGTAATTACAATGCATTCTTAATTTTTATGCATATCAGTCTTATATTAATAGCTTATGACCTTTAATTAGGAACCTAGAAAATTGTGATCAGGTCATGTTTGGCTGTTGAGCCATAGATGTATATTACTTTAAAGGGAGAGGGCTGGATTGAGGTGGCACAGGGTAGAAGTAGAAAAATAAAATGTATTCCTTCTTCCAGATATTTTAGACAAAAGTTTGTCTGTTGTTTTATAACATGCTATTGACCCACAAAAATTGACCTGAAACTCAGTGATCTTTGAAAGTACTGCTTCCTGGGGCATTAGTTCTTGGTTATATTCTTTTGGCAAAATCATTCTTCCTTTTAGGAAGAAGAGTACAGAAACCTCTTTTTATTTATGTATAATACATACCTTTAAGGGTAAAATAGTTACTATTAATGCTTTCTGCCTAAAGGAAAGCTTACTAGCTTCTGCATTTAGACTAAGTTGGCTTTTTGAGATTTATCTTCTAAAAATATAGCAAGACAGTTTCCATTGTAATAGTGGAAATCCTTCGGTAATCATGCGTCTTTATCAAGTAATAACTGAAACCAAGTAGTGGTTTTAAATTTTTATATAAAAGAACATAAGGTCCTAATTTGCTGTAAGGTAGTGATACATTATTCATGAAGAGGGCTAATACTCTTTTCATTACACTACCACTTTTAATGTCTTTAATTCTTCCAGTTTTCAGAGAGAACTTTGTGTAGAATGGAGTCTTTGATGGGTGTCAGGCTTGTCTTGGTAGATTCAGTTGATCAGTCTTACATGGTAGTGTTTTAATGATGTTTCTAAGAAGATCCCAGTGAAAGGTATAGAGTGCTTAGAGACTCCCCAGCCACCATGAAGATAATGTTGTTTGAAGGTTGAGTAATACTGTTGCTGCTATAAGTTGCAGGGAACTTTTGTATAGCTGTGAAATACTTTCTTTCCCAAGTCTGTTACAAATACTTACGTTTACTTTTTTTTTTTTTTTTTTTTTTTTTGAGAAGAGTTTTGCTATGTTGTTCAGACTGGTCTTAAAGTCACTGTGTAGCCCAGGCTGGCCTCGAACTTGAAGCAGTCTTCCTGCCTGAGCCTCCCGGGTACTGGGACTACAGGTGTGCACCACTATACCCAGCTGTTCCAAATAAGTACATCAAGGCGATCTCCATCAGTAGGTGGGCCCCAAGGAGTGGTTTTAGAATTTACATCAGGTATTATCTAATAATGTTTGGCATGGCAAGGTAATTGTATCACGATGCTCCCTGTTTCATCCCCCTGTCGACATGCTTACTTCAATTAGGTATTCTTTGGAGGTATTATGTAAATTTATATAGAAGTCTCCCATACCAAAATGGGTTATTAAAACTTTTTAACCATTTAAAAATCTCTAATTAATTAGTCTTTGCAAACTTCTAAGCATAGGGTGAAAGCAACTGTTGTTTATAGTTGATGAAAACAAACTGTACAAATAATTCTGCCTCATACTTTTAGGATCTTACAATCTTAAACCTGAATTTAAGCAATAAGGCTGCTTTTAAATTAAATTTTTGTGATTAAAATCTTCCCATTCTGTGGGAAGCACCACAGCATGATCACATTGAATTGAGAGTTTGCCTTTTGCAACTGGGTTGTCACTGGCTCATCAAGAACAAGGAAAGGCAGACTTACAAAGACCCAGGAAGTACATATGATATGATCTGGGATGAGATTCTGTGACCTTTCCTGTTATCCTTTTTCCCCATTCTGGACTCACACATTTTCTCACTTATTTTGATTTGAAAAGTTAGCAAGGGGTAAACAGAAGGTGGTGAAGAAAGAATTAGGTGCATAAATGTTTTAGAAAATGGAAATGCCTTCATCCTGTGTACTGTGTATTTTCAGATTATTGGAAGAGTTCCCTTGTTTAAACTCTTGAGGTGCTTTAGACTGAAATTTGGGATCTAGATCACTAAGTCAAGAAAAATTACTAGTCTGTTTTAAACCCAGGGGATCTACAAATGCTTCTGCTTTAAAGAGATACTTCCATATGCAATAGACACTAGAATCTAGTATAGAGAAAGGGGCTGGCAGATACCACTGGTGGGAGTCCATGCTGCACTTGGAGCTGGACCTTAGGGGACAGTAGAACTGGACTACCAAACAGTGTTTTCTTTAGACAAAATCTAGAAGTCATTTCATTCCTCTTCATAGAATTTATTGGCATCTGACTTGTACATTCCACTGTAAAAAGAAGCAGTGCATATGTTTTCTGTTTCCTTGTCTGAGTAATAGTTTAGGTGGTCAGAGCTAAGGGAAGATGCGTACCTGGTTCTAAGATAAGTTAAGCTGATAAAGTTGCCACATACTTTTCCATCAGAAAAGTTGATCCAGGAGAACAGTCTTCATGAGATGTATTCAGTTAACTTTGGAAGTGTTTCCACACACTTTTAACATTTGCTAGTGAACAGTGAACATCCTAGAAGAAATAAAATTTTTCTGTGTGCCTCTTTATTCTCAATCACTTCCTCTGAAAGGAATGTCCTCATTTTTTTTTTATATGTAATGATTTCACAGAAAGTTTGGTTCATGTTTTGTTTATCCTAATATGATTTCCACTTTTTTCCAGCTAGTTCTTCATTGTCTCATTATTTTCTGGAAAGTCCATGCTTACCCCATTTATTTGAGGTGCTGCCTTTATCACAGACCAAACATTTTTAAATTTTTACATCTATTCTATTGGTTTGTCAGCCTTTGTATTTAACATGCTGTTGGAACCACTAACCGTTCATAAATTGTGTAAGTAAAAATAAACCAATATTAAATGCCCACTAAAATATATTTGTGATAATAAAATAATGACTTGTGTCGTACAAAAAATGTACAGAAATATAGTACCAAAGTATAATTCTATGTGGCACCTAGCATCAAGATAAAACAAAAATAACTTGCTCATATATAAATAAATTTCAACTATAAAGAAAGCAGGACGTGGCATGATACTGTATCAAGAGCAGTACACTAGGTCAAGATCATTACCGCTTATTCTGCCATCACCAGTGCACAAACTCTACAGTCTTGTCTCAGTTCCCTTCTTTTGGAGTGAGACATCTGAAATTCTTTATCTGGATTATCCTGACAGACTCTAAAAGCTCTATTTACAAATCAATTAAGTAGACTTAATGTACCATTCATATTTGTGATGTTTTATATAATTATACAAGCTGAGGAGAAGTATACCACATAAGATGAGCAAGCTTTTTCAGAACAGCTCCAGGTTGAGTGTCTTCAGTACACTGAAATGTGGAAGTCCCATTTAGCTTTTTGGCAGTCAGAGGTCTCCCATCTTTATTGGAATAATATTGATGATAAGTTCTAAAAATTTATTCTTCAAGAGCATGAGCACCATGATTTATTTCATAAAATGGTTATACCTGATGATAAATTTAAAAGTAACCAAAAAGTTTAGGCCCTAAGTGTCCAGTAACTGATATTAAAATAGTACTCATTTTGGGAACAGGATTTACTACTGAGATCAGGCAGAAAAGTCCTTAAAATGATTCTGTTACCCAGAGATAATGAATGTATCACCTTTAATTTTTAAGCCTCATAACTACAGCTTTACCTTCGCCTTTCAACAATACAGAATGTTGAAAAACCCCTCCAAAAAGTGAAACTCCAATTAAATGGATATTTGAAGCGCAATGAAATTGAAAGGTTAATGTGTAAAGCTAAATAGAGTGAATGATGACCATTAATTCCCTTTATGTGACAAAAGGTGTTCATTTATTGTATTAAACGCTATTAGAATTAGCAATTTAAACGATAAAAAGAATTTTAAATAAACCGGAACCCATCAGCTTGCTTTCTTCTTTCATTTCCTAAATTCCAGTTTTGTAATGAGAACTACAACTGAACGGTTAGCTCTTTACTTCTCCTGAGGCTTAGGCAGTAATGGCAGATAGACAAACCCAGGTACATAGATCTATACAGATGTATAAACCTATGCATAATCTATATTTATACATACACAATTACATACACATGATGCATGCTAGGGAAATCACTAGTTTGAGGAAGCCTGACCGTGCATATGCAAAGCTTGACAAAGGAGCAGTAAGGGGTTACATTAAAATCTGAGCCCTATGAGCCAATAGGGTTTTCACTGTTTTATTTTCAGGCTTTCACTGTTTTATTCACTAGCATCACAAATTCATAAAAGCAATCCTTGACACAGGTTAACTGCTCAAAATATGTTGAATGAAAACTCCTATATGCAAATCCTGACTACTCCCCATTTACTGACTTTAGATAATGTATAACATCTATGTCTCTCTTTAAGATGGAGTAGTGGTAAACATACAGTATTTTTGCAAGACAGGTGAAGTTCTTGCCACGTCATTAAGAGTTGCCATTGCTCCTATTGAAATACTCAGAATTATCTACTGTTTTGGGTAGGATTTAATTCTATAATTGGTCTGTGACAGTAATTTTTATCATTAGGTATTTGATTTTATTGGAAAGTACCTTAGTTTTATGGTCTGACTCATCAGGCTTAAACTGTTATAATACTTTAGCATGTTATAAGAAACCATCCCAGGCCATTCTTGGGTAGCTTTAGAAAAGGATTATGTTAAGCCATGTTTTTTCCTCAATAAAGGATCCATTGGTTTAAGCCGTGTCACTTAAGCTGTTCAGGATAGGTCCGCCTGTGCTGCATAGCAACTCCTAAAGTACTTGGAACAATTTTTCTGTCCCCTTGAGAGACATTTCAAAACTAACACTCCATCTTAAGACATTTTGTTTGACAATGGAAGTTCCTATTCAGATCATAATGAAATAGAGCAGCACTGTTGTTAGATTCTAGCTTTGTCGTATAACTAGACTGTGGGGTGAATAGTATGTGCACAGTTACAGAGCACACTTCGTAACTATCAGGTTCTCTTAGTGTTCACGCATGTGATTTCCCTATTTCCTATCTATTCACTTGGTCTTGCAGATGAAAGATAGGATCTTTATTTTGTTAAGTGTTAACTTGCTTTTCTTGTTCTGATCCGTTTTGGGTTTTTCTGTTTTGGGTTGGCTTATTTTTCCCTCCCAGTTTCATGTGTCATTTTTTTCTTAAATGAAACTATACATTTACCATGTAGAATTCACTTTTTGAGAAAAATGTAAGCATTTTTAGATTCTGTAGGTTTAATATAGTTTGCAGTTTGATCCAATACATGGACTATTCCCTGGTAACATTCTAATGTTTAACAATTATATTCATATCCAATTTGTTTCAGTTAATGGTACCAGTACAGTATGTCCTTCTGGTCATCTTATTTTCTGTTATAGAACATGTGCTGCTTTCAAAAATGTTTGTTTTACACTTTTATCCTCCAAATAAATTTTAAATTATGCTTATAAATTTCAATCATACTGGCATTATGTTGAATATATACATTGAGGACTGACATCACCATTGAATCTTCCCATCAAATACTGAAATTCTATTTTCACGTTTTTATATGGATTTAGGCATGCTTTTACTTGAATCCTCAACGGTAGGAGGAGGTGTATAATTGATTTTCTCCTTTTTCTGAGGTTTAGGAAATGGACTTAATTGTGAAGTCTCAAGCACATATGATCATTTTATTATTTGGGGGATTCCATCACATTTTTACACAAAGACATTTTGAAATGTATTCTTAGATTTTTCACTGTTGATAATATAAGCTGTAATTCAAATATATAGTGAATGTTTAAATAAGAAATTCATTTTAGTAAAGACACAGTGCATTTTCCTTCTCCTCCTCGGTATGAACACACTTATCCCATCATTCTTGCCACTTTCTAAAGCAGTTCTAGAAGTCTTCTTTTGAGAGTATCTTTATACGGAATCATAAAAAAATACAGTGAATGCTGCTGCCGAGTACCATACAACAGAAAGCCAGACTCATAAAACATTACACTGTGTCCTCATCCACCACCAGATCTGGCACTGTGCGACTTTCAGCTCTTCCTCAAAATCAGAGTGACCATGAAAGGTAAATATTTCAATTTAGGATATTGAGGTCAAGTCAGTGTCTTTTTACTGTAATAAATATTTTAAACCACAAGCATTCACCATATTTTTGGATCACAAAGACAATTACCAGGATAAAGGCAATTAATATGCTCAGAAGGTCTTCGTTTTTCTAAAGGTTAACATTATACTAAGTCATCTGCTTTAAAATTTTCATTCATGTGCCCCATGATGGTGGAGTCAGGCCACATATAGTCTTGTGAAATTATACTGGAGCTAAAAATTCAATTCCTGTTACCTGGAAACTTCGTAACTTTTGTAATTGTCAGATTGTGCATAACATCAGAGCATCATGCTCTGTTACAAAATGTTACATGTCTGGGTATGCTGGTGTAAACAAACCTAAGCTAATACAGGTGTTCTGGTTTTTTGTTCTTTGCATTGCTGGGGATTGGATGTGGCTTATTTTTTAACAGAAACATTTAAGAAGAAAAGTTTGTAGACAGAACAAAGCTTATAGAATAAGGACATAAAAAATCCTTTTTACAACTGTACAATGTTTTAAGCTGTTATTCAAAAATTTAAGTTTTTAAATATTGTTTATGTAGAAAAATTACAGTAAGCTTTTGAAGAAAAATGTATATAAGGTTAGCGCAGCCTAAGTCTACAAGAGCATAGAACAACGTTGTAGGCCCTCACATGCATCCTGTAGCCTCTCCCTGACCTACTTCGAGTACAGCATGCTCCGTAGAGCTTGATTGAATGCCCTGTCCACGTATACCATTTTTTATCCTTTTAGATCATATTTTACTGTACCTTTTCTATGTTTAGATACATAAGTACTTAACCCATTGTGCTGCAGTTACCTGTAGTTTTGAATACCATACTTAACAGGACTAACGCAGTAAGGTATACCAAGTAGCATAGGTGTATAGTTACTTTCTGTGACGCTTACTTTTGTAAGTCTAAGTACTTTCTGTGATGCCTGTGCAAGAACATTGTATACGTGTTTCTCACAATGTATCTTTATTATCAAATGATGTATGACTGTATTTGCACTTTTTCAGTAGGGATGAGGATATAAAAGCATGGCCATCAAATGTGACTGATACTCATTTGTTACAGAATTATTCTACCAAATCTTTCCAAGTGTTGCTCTTCTCAGTGTAATCTTTCATGCTCACTTTGGCAGCATATACACCAATATAATCTTTTTTCTAGGAGTTTTTCAAGTGACTTTTATTTTTCTGCTTTCAGAGAAAGTTTCACTGTGCAAATCTGACTTCGTGGCCTCGCTGGCTATACTCGTTATATGATGCTGTAAGTACTTACCTTAAGTTACTATATGTGGTAAGCCATGTCGTGGTTAAGGTTAACAAAAACAAAACAGAGTTTTAACATTATTTTGAGAACTAATGCCCCTTATTATATATAAAGTAACAGCAGGCAGGAGTCAGAAGTATTGATGGATATGCTTTGTTTCCTATTTAAGGGCAAAATGTGAGACTTTTTAATGTTTATTAAGCATCTGAAATCCCTTTAAGAGTGATAGTTACAGAAAATTCTTATATAACAATGTTTTGCGTTTTCTCCAAATTAATACTTTTATCTCCTGATCACTACTCAGTCTGTTAATGTATCCACAAAAGCTTTTGCTCTTCAGAATTCAAAAGTAGTCATTATCATGTTTTATGAAACACTAAGAGGCAGATGGCTGGAATAATTTAAAGAATCATGGTGTTTAGTGCTGGTGATATAGCTCAGAGAAAGAGTGCTTGCTTAGCATACATAAGGCTCTGGGTTCAACCCTCAATACCACAAAAAAAAAAAGAAAAAAAAACTTGGTCTTAAATACAAAAGTTGGGTTCAAAGCGCACTTTCTATCACTTTGGGTTTGGGGCAAATTCTCTTAAGTTTGTAGAAAATGACAACAGTAGCAGCAGTTACATGGGGTATATGGTTGGCATTCAACAAATTCACCCACAGATCTGCGATCTTGGGAAAACTAAACAAGTAGGTTTTGTGTACTTTTGATATATATACACAAGGAAGCTGCAGTAGTTTATGAGCCATTATACAGAAACCATACCAGAGTACTTTTTTGAATGCCAGTTAAAAGATGATACAGTAAGGTATATATCAAGATACAGGGAGGGAAGGAAGGAAGGAAAAAGGGAGGGTGGGCAGGCAGGCAGGCAGGCTAGACTGGCTTCCTAAAACATGAGGCTTCAGCAAAAGGAGAGGAGGCCAGTTCCAAGCAGGAACCTAGAACAGCTTTCCCAGACTAGGTATGTCCAACGGGATAGACAGATTGGGGCTGAGGAAAGCATGGGAACATAACTTTGGCTTAGCAAAGGAGCTGGGGCTTGGTTATTTTTGCAGAAGAAAGCAGACACTGAAGCTTGGACTCATAGGTCTGAGATTTCATCACATAGCAATGGCTTAAAGTGTCACCAATATATTAGAATTTTACTGAAAAAATGTTGAAAAGCTAACAATAAATGTTACTAATTCTGAATTTTATTATGACTATTTTAAGGAAACCTTAATGGATAGAATTAAGAAACAGCTACGTGAATGGGATGAAAACCTAAAAGATGAGTCTCTTCCTTCAAATCCAATAGGTATGAAAAGTTAGTTCCTTTCCTTTGGCCTTGATGTGTTGCTAAAAGAAATTTAAGAACTCGTCTAGCTGATGATCATTAAGTTTTTTAAGTTAAACTGGTTAATACTTTAATGATGTAAAGCATTCATATTTCCTTTGCTTTAAGCTGCTGAAAAATACATTCTGTGATTCTATATTATGCAGACCTTCCATATGACATTCAAATTGCAATTAAGTGGCTTTCCAAAAATATTTCCTGAAGGTAGACAAGCTTTTCCCTATTCTTTAACTTTACAAGTGACCCTACCTCCAGGACTTGACATATACTCTCTATAATCATTTAAGTGACTTGAACGTGGACTTGATACCCATTTTTAATTGAAAGGAAAATAGCTGGTTTTTTTCTTTTTTGGTTTTTTCTCTGGTACCGGGAACCGAACTCACAACCTTGCACTTGCCAGGCAGGCGCTTTTGCCGCTGAGCTAAATCCCCAGCCCCTATAGCTGGTATATTTTAGAACTGTTCTATTTCAAATGAACATCTGATTCATATGTTACCTGATTCATAAATTTAAAATCCTGAAAATTCCACGTCTTTAAGATTTTTCTTACAGAGTAGCTGCTTGCCTTCCTATTGATGATGTTTTAAGAATTCAACTACTTAAAATTGGTAGTGCTATCCAACGACTTCGCTGTGAATTAGACATTATGAATAAAGTGAGTAAATGTGTTTGTGATACCCATGTTTCATCAGGCTAGAAAATTTAAGAGTGCCCTGTTAGTAGGACCAATAAATCTGTCTCTAGAGTCCCATTATGTAGTCCCATAGAGAAAACTGTTTACTTGTTTGTTATGGTTTGCATTAAAAATATTTTACAGTACATGTTGCACATTGCTAAAGTTTTGCATGTTTTAGGATTAGGAATATTCCACAGAGTTTATGCAGATACTCCAAAATCTGAAAAGCTTCTAATCCCCTAGAGAAGACACTCAGCCTGTGAAATTTAAAAATTTCAGTTGGGATCGTACCGGTAGAAACTTGAGATGTTTTATATTTCTCAAATATGAACTTCTTTTTGAAACCTTGTGAAAATTATGAAATCTTTCCTGATAATATTACTGTTTTAAAAATTCTAGAAAGTCATTTAATTTTATAAGTGAATATTTACCAGATCTCAAAAGTTTTTCTTGTTCTATTGATAAATCTAAGTTTTTCAGTGGCTGGAAGGAAAGTACGGTAGAGGGAGGGACACCTTAGAGAAGTTTCTTGATGAGCTATGTAATTTAATTACATAATAACAAATGCCAAAATGTTTCCCACTAATAATTTTCTCAAAAATTTTAGTGTACTTCCCTTTGCTGTAAACAATGTCAAGAAACAGAAATAACAACCAAAAATGAAATATTCAGGTAAGTGCTCATATTTCTAATACACTTCTGCATATATTGCCTATTACTTTAGAATTATAATCAAGTGTGTACTTTAGCTTTCTATATATTTCCCTCTACTCAATAAACTAAGGGTAATTAACAGTTCCAGGGAAAGCTCTCTTCCAATTAGGAGATGCATAGCAACAATGGATCTGTAAGAAAATATTTATAATTAATGAGCACAGTAAGTAAAACAACTACACAATCCTTTTTTTCCAATTCTTGTTGAAAATGTTAAGTACTACAGTATTAGTGATTAAAGGTTTAATCTGAATGCCTAAGACATACTTCAGTTATTTTTGCCACATAAAGTAGGGCATGCTTTTAACATGTACTCACAGTGTTTGGGTATTATTCTGTGATAAATTCATCAGAATTATAAATGAACAAGGTTAAAAAAAAACTGATGTCTACAAAGCAATGAACTGATCATATAAGAACTTTTCACTATACATAACCCTGAGGAGTTTTGAAACTAGTACTGTTTCCCCTAGGGTCACCATAGGAAATACTTAACAAAACTAGGATGTCTGCCCAACCTTTTGTTCTGACACTAAGGTTTTAGTATTATCTAAAAGATTAAGTTTAGCTTGTACCTCATTACTTAACTTCAGAAAAAAACCTATTTGGAGTTTTTTTTCCTTTGCATAATTGAGTATCCTCTTTGTTGATCTTTGTTTTAGTTTATCCTTATGTGGGCCGATGGCTGCTTATGTGAATCCTCATGGATATGTACATGAGACACTTACCGTGTATAAAGCTTCCAACTTGAATCTGACAAGCCGGCCTTCTACAGAGCACAGTTGGTTTCCTGGGTAATACACCAGTGGTGTTGCTTTGTTTTGTTTCTGTTTTACCTTAATTGAGTAGAAAAACCCAGCTACAATTGTAATAAAAGTAGGTATGACATGAATATTTTATTAAAATGCTCTTTGGTCCACGAATAGATAGAAACATCTATTTTACTTTTTAACTCTTTTCTGTAATATGTAAGTTAGGGAGATCAAAGGTCAACAACTGTAGTTGTCCTCAAATTACTAGTTAACTTAGTTATTTTAATTTTCTGTGACCTCATTGCGAAAAATCAACTACTTTATAATTCGATAAAACTATGTGTGTATCATATCCTGTGGTAATATAAAAGTAGAGTGGGTTTTCCAAGCTCTGACAGACTAACAAGATAGAGACACCATTGAATCGTGCTTTGCTTTTCATTTACATACTTTTAGCCCATTAGTTCTCAGTGTGGCCCTAGGCACAGCTGTTAGGAATTTGTTAGAGTCCTCACTGCTCTATTATCTTAAAGAGCTTGATTAATCTTTTTGTCCCAAATTCTGGGTTACCTTTTAGTTTGAAAAAGGCATGCTAAGTAAGGATTAGTGATCATACTTGTCCTGGACTAGGGCCTTCTGACAGGGATTGTCTTAACTTATTTGACATCCTTCTTACAGACTAATACTAGAATTTGTTAATATGAAGTGCTAAATGTGAGATATTACACCTAGGGAAAAAAATTGTTGCAATTACATAATTTAATTTATTTACCTTAAGAACAAAAGTGCCATGGATTTGTAGTTCTGAATCATTTTATAGTGGTAGTTCTAAAATCTTACGTGGACCGTCCCCTTGCCTCATATAATGTAACTCAGACAAAATTCAGTGCATATTTCTATAGGTGATTGCTGGACAGAACAAAGGAAAAGCTAGTGAAAATTAGAATAAATTGTATAAGAAAATATGTAGTGACAAGATTCTTCTGTCTTTGCAATAGAGGGAAAATTTAAACATGGTTTTAAGAGTAAGTCAAATCAGGGGGCTGGGGATTTAGCTCAGCAGCAAAAGCGCCTGCCTG